ATCAATTGGGCGAAATTCGTGATGATCCACATGGCGGATTGCGCCTCCATCGCCACTGAGCGGAGCTTGCCATACGCCTTCCTCGTCATGGACCTCATCATCTCCGCCGACATCTCCATCGCCGGCCCGGATACGAAGATGACAAAGATTTGGATAATTCAAGACAGCACCTTCCGGAAGAAGTCCGGAGACCGGGACGGCGCAGGCCCAAGTCGTGCACCAGCCCCCGCTCCCGCCAAGGCCTCTCTGCAATCCATAGCCAATACTCTGAACTGGCTAACCCTCACAGTGGATGGCATGGGGCAGTCAATCGAGCGGATGGACTGGACGCTGCAACGCCAACACCACGACATGACGGCGTTCTTCCGCGGCATCAACTACGTCCCGCCGCCCTTTGACAGTACCTTCCTCGGCCAAAACTATGAAGGCGAGGACGAGGAGGATAACTCCTATGCTCCATCCTCCTCCCCCGACGAGGCCGACTTTGAAGATGCGGTCGACGGCGATCCCATGGACGATGAGGACGACGAGGATGACGACGAGGACGCCGATGCTTAGACTTCTCTTTTCTCTTCTTCCTATGATTGTATTTTTTATTTTTTCCATTCCGTTTTATTCCGCATTTCCCTTTTTCATGAATAAAAGTTTACTTTTACAATTCTCAAGTTTACTTTTAACTCTTTTTGTTAATGTCAAAAGGGGGAAGATATTAAGGTTATGCATAAATTAAGGGGGAATTTTTTTTTGTAAAATAGCATCTATTAAGGGGGAACATCTTTTTCAAAATAATCCTCCTATGCATAACCTCGTCTCGTTTGCCATTATCAAAAAGGGGGAAATTGATGAAACACGGGCTTGTCACGTTTTCGTACTAAAGCCGTGTTCGTTTTTGTAACAGGTTTTGATAATGCCAAACCACCGTGATCAAGTCGAACATTGAATATACAAGGCGAAGAATGAAGATAAGAGCAAGAGCTAAACGAAGACCTTAATCATAGTATTGAGTCGGTCTTTATTGTGATCAAGACCGACCCAATCTTTACACCTTGGCTCTTTAGGCTAAAAACTCTCATTGCATTTCTTACATCATAAAAATGGTTTTAAACTTGTTTAAGTCATTAAAAACACTTGGTGTTCACCCAAACCAAAAACCAAGCCATCCAGTGTTCGGCTTTCAGAAACCAGCGTTCGGCTTTCGGTTGTCGGGTTTGGTTTTTGGCATCCGAACCAACCAAGTGGTTTTCAGCATTTTATGATCTGCTTTCACTCTTTGGCATGTTTAAACGGTTCTCCAACAAAAACACTTTGAAAACCATCCCTCGTTTTTTAGTCGTTTG